GTTATCCCATCACTATCCCGCTCTTACCCCATTATCCCATTCCCAATGTCCAGTTATCCCATCCAAGTTATCCCATTCCTGCTATCCCCGTTATCCCATTGCTGTCCCCGTTATCCCATCCCATTACCCCACCATGGTCCCATTGTTACCCCATTCCTGTTATCCCCATTCCCATTATCCCGTTATTCTGCTGCAGTCCTGCACTGCCCCCGCTGTTATCCCATCACTATCCCGTTATCCCGTTATCCCTTTATCCCTGTTTTCCCATCCCCCGTTATCCCACCCCCGTTATCCCACTCCTGTTATCCCGTTATTTGATTGCTATCCCATTATCCCACCCCCGTTGTCCCACTGCTATCTCATTATCTCATCCCTGTTATCCCACCCCCGTTATCCCATCCCCATTATCCCACTGCTATCCCGTTATCCCACTGCTATCCCGTTATCCCACTCCCATTATCTCACCCCCGTTATCCCACTGCTATCCCATTATCCCACCCCCGTTATCCCATCCCCGTTATCCCACCCCCGTTATCCCATCCCCGTTATCCCACCCCCATTATCCCATTCCCATTATCCCACCCCCGTTATCCCACTCCTGTTACCCCATCCCCGTTATCCCACCCCCGTTACCCCATCCCCGTTATCCCATCCCCGTTATCCCACCTCCATTATCCCACTGCTATCCCATTATCCCACCCCCGTTATCCCACTGCTATCCCGTTATCCCACCCCCATTATCCCACCCCCGTTATCTCCCGTCCGGCGGGTGCCGCTGCCGGGCCGGTACCGTGGGCAGCCCGGGCGGGGGTCCCGGTGCCGGTGCCGGTGCCGGTGCCGGTGCGGTGGCGGCAGAGGCTCAGGCGGCAGTGCAGGAACTGCAGCGGCTCCGGGAACCGCGCCGGGAGCACGAACGAGCCCCGGAGCCGCCGCCGCGCCCGCCCCGCGCCGCAGCCGCCCCGCAGCACCACGAGCGGCCGCGGCAGCGGGGCGGGACCCCGGGGCGGGCCCGGGGACGAGCGCGGGGACACGAAACAGCGGCGGAGCGAGAAACCGAGCCCGGGGGGAGCGCGGGACAGCGACACCTGCGGGGACACGGACAGGGACAGGGGGTCATGGGGACAGCGACACCGGGACAGGGACACAGAGACAGGGGCACCGACACCGGGACAGGGACAGGGACACAGGGACAGGGACAGCGACATCAGGACAGGGACAGCGACACCTGCGGGGACACAGACAGGGACAGGGGGTCATGGGGACAGGGACACCGGGACAGGGACATCGGGACAGGGACAGCGACACCGGGACAGGGACACCGGGACAGGGACATCGGGACAGGGACAGCGACACCGGAACAGGGACAGCAACACCGGGACAGGGACAGCGACACCTGCGGCGACACGGACAGGGACAGGGGGTCATGGGGACAGCGACACCGGGACAGGGACATCGGGACAGGGACACCGGGACAGGGACAGCGACACCTGCGGGGACACCGACAGGGACAGGGGGTCGTGGGGACAGCGACACCGGGACAGGGACACCGGGACAGGGACAGGGACATCGGGACAGGGATAGCGACACCGGAACAGGGACAGCGACACCGGGACAGGGACAGCGACACCTGCGGCGACACGGACAGGGGACCGGGGGTCATGGGGACAGCGACACAGGGACAGGGACAAGGGGGGTCACGGAGGGATCACAGGGACAGTGACACCTGCACAGGGGACAGGGACAGAGGAGGGGTCCCGGCGGGAGGGAGACACCTGGACAGGGACGGGGACGGGGGGACAGAGAGGGGGACACGGGGGGGACACGGGGACACACGGGGGGACACGGGAGCGATGGGGATCGGGACCCCCCCCGTTCCCCCCTCACCTGCACGAACACGCCCCCTCCAGTGCCCCCCCCGCCGTGTCCCCCTCCGTGTCCCCGTGTTCCCCTCTCCTGTCCCCCTCACCTGTCGCCTGTCCCCTCACCTGCAGGAACACGCATCCCCTCACCTGTCCCACGTGTCCCCCCTGTCCCCTCACCTGCAGGAACACCGTCCCCATTGTCCCCTCACCTGCAGGAACATGTATCCCCCCCGTGTCTCACCTGTCCCCTGTCCCCTCCTCTGTCCCCTCACCTGTCCCCCGTGTCCTCTGTATCCCTCGTGTCCCTCACCTGCAGGAACACGGTCCCCGTGTCCCCATTGTCCCCTCACCTGCAGGAACACTGTCCTCGTGTCCCCATTGTCCCCTCACCTGCAGGAACACGGTCCCCCTGTCCCCACTGTCCCCCGTGTCCCCATTGTCCCCCTCACCTGCAGGAACACGGTCCCCCCTGTCCCCACTGTCCCCCGTGTCCCCATTGTCCCCTCACCTGCAGGAACACGCGTCCCCGTGTCCCCATTGTCCCCTCACCTGCAGGAACACGGTCCCCCTGTCCCCACTGTCCCCCGTGTCCCCATTGTCCCCTCACCTGCAGGAACACGCGTCCCCCCCGCGGGCACCGCTCTCGGTCCCGGGGCCGCTCCGAACTCGGGGGAGGCGGCGACGTCCAGGCGGAGCCGGGGGGGGCGGGGCGGGCACTGGGGCTGAGGGGCGGAGTCAGCGCGGGCCCCGCCCCCAGTGAGGCCAACCAGGGACATCCCAGTGCCACCAATGCCACCAACCAGGGACATCCAGCGCCACCAGTGCCACCGGTGACATCCCAGTGCCACCAGTAACCCCCAGTGAGACCAACCAGGGACGTCCCAGTGCCACCAATGCCACCAACCAGGGACATCCCAGCGCCACCAGTGCCACCGGTGACATCCCAGTGCCACCAGTAGCCCCCAGTGAGACCAACCAGGGACGTCCCAGTGCCACCAATGCCACCAACCAGGGACATCCCAGCGCCACCAGTGCCACCGGTGACATCCCAGTGCCACCAGTAGCCCCCAGTGAGACCAACCAGGGACATCCCAGTGCCACCAGTGCCATCCCAGTGCCACCAGTAGCCCCCAGTAACCCCCAGTGCCACCAGTAACCTCCCAGTGCTCCCAGTTCCCTCCCTCCCGCTTTCAACCCAGTTCCCCCCAGTGCTCCCCTGTGACACTCCCAGTGCTCCCAGTTCCCTCCCAGTCACCCCCAGTGCCCCCTCCCACTCACCCTCAGTTCCTCCCAGTTCCCCCCAGTGCTTCCAGTTCCCCCCAGTTCCCCCCAGTGCTCCCAGTTCCCCCCAGTTCCCCCCAGTGCTCCCAGTTCGCCCCATTTCCCCCCAGTGCTCCCAGTTCCCCCCAGTTCCCTCCCAGTACATCCCAGTTCCCCCCATTTCCCTCCCAGTACATCCCAGTTCCCCCCAGTGCTCCCAGTTCCCTCCCAGTTCCCCCCATTTCCCCCCAGTGCTCCCAGTTCCCCCCAGTTCCCCCCAGTGCTCCCAGTTCCCTCTCAGTACATCCCAGTTCCCCCCAGTTCCCCCCAGTACATCCCAGTTCCCCCCAGTGCTCCCAGTTCCCTCCCAGTTCCCCCCAGTGCTCCCAGTTCCCCCCAGTTCCCTCCCAGTACATCCCAGTTCCCCCCATTTCCCTCCCAGTACATCCCAGTTCCCCCCAGTACATCCCAGTTCCCCCCCAGTACATCCCAGTTCCCCCCAGTGCTCCCAGTTCCCCCCAGTTCCCCAGTGCCGCACTCACCCCGGGCCGGTCCCCGCTGCAGCGCGCCCTGGGGGCTCTCGGGGGGGACACTGGGGGTCCCGGGGTGGGGGCGGGGTCACCCCACGGCCAGCCCGGGGGGGGCCCTGGGGGCGGTGACACCTCTGGGTGTCCCCTCCAGGCCACCCGGCCCCCCCCGACACCCAGGACCCCCCCGTGCCGCGGGTCCCCCCCAGTGTCCCCCCCGGGACTCTCCTGGTCCCCCCAAAGTCCCCCCCGGGGTCCCCCAATGTCCCCCCCAGGACGCTCCTGTCCCTTCCTGTCCCCCCATGTCCCCTCCTGTCCCCCCCACCTGCGGGACCCCCCCCGGGCAGGAGGAAGATGAGGATGAGGACGGGGAGGGCCCGGGGGGTGCCCGGTGGCGCTGCCATCCTGTCCCCGCTGTCCCCAAGGTGTCCCCGCTGTCCCCAAGGTGTCCCCGCGGCTCCCGCCCACGCCGGGGGGATGTCCCCGTGTCCCCTCCGCCCCCCCCGTCGCCATGGTGACACCCTTGGGCCGCGGGGACGTCACGGAGGTGGCACCCGAGTGCCCCCGCATGTCCCTGAGGTGCCACCGGTGTCCCCGCCCCGATGTCCCCAGTGCCCTCCCCGGTGTCACCCGGACCCTCCAGCTGTCCCTGCTGTCCCTCCGGGTCCCCAACCCCGTGGTCTCTGCCACCCTCCCGTGCCCATGTCCCCCCCGTGTCCCCGGTGTCCCCTGTGCCATCCCCTCCTGTGTCCCCAGTGTCACTCGTGTCCCTCTGCTGTCCCCAGCCCCGATGTCCCCACCCTCCACCCTCCTGTCCCCATCCTGATGTCCCCAAGATCCACCTGTGCCACCTCCATCTGTGTCCCTGTCCCCATCCCAATGTCAGCCTGTCCCCAATGTCCCACCTCTCCTGTCCCCAGTGTCCCCAACGTCCCATCTCTCGTGTCCCCAATGTCCCCACCCTCCACTTTCCTGTCCCTGTCCTCAGTGTCCCCATCCCCTTTCCCCATGTCCCCCTGCGCTTCCCCATGTCCCAATGTCCCCCCCTCCCCATCTGTGTCCCCAATGTCCCCGTGTCCCCCCTCTTCATCTCAGTGTCCCCAATGTCCCCCTGTGCTTCCCCAATGTTCCCCCATATTTCCCTGTGTCCCCACTGTCCCATGTCCATCCCAATGTCCCCGTGTCCCCATCCCAATGTCCCAGTGTCCCCCCTCCCTATCCCAATGCCCTCAGTGTCCCCAGTGTCCCCATATCCCCGTCCCAGTGTCCCCAATGTCCCCAGTGTCCCCCCATATTTCCCAGTGTCCCCAATGTCCCCAGTGTCCTCAGAGCCTGACGCCGACGCGGCCCCTCGGGTTCCACATGCGCATTTATAATAATAATAATAATTAATAATAATAATTAATAATAATAATTAATGAGGGTGAGGGGGGGCGGCGCCGCCCGCGCCCCCAATGCACTAAAACTGCACCTGCTGGCCTTGGGGACAGCGGGGACACGGCGGGGACACGGCCCGGCCCTGATTGTCACCGTGCCACCACGGCCCCGCCACCGGGGCCACCCCGGGCCGTGCCCCCAGTGTCACATCCCGGTGTCACATCCCGGTGTCACAGCCCTGGTGTCACAGCCCAGTGTCACATCCCGGTGTCACATCCTTGGTGTCACATCCTTGGTGTCACATCCCGGGACTGGGCCCTGCGATGTCACGTCCGTGATGTGTCCGTGTCCCCAGGCCACCACTCCGTGTCCTTCAGTGCCGTGTCCCCATTGTCACAGCCCGGGGACATCCCTGTCCTGTGCCATCCCCGTGTCACAGCCTGGGGACGTCTCTGTCCCTGCGTCACTTCCCGGTGCCATCCCTGTGCCACATCCTGGTGCCATCTCTGTCCTGTGTCACTTCCCGGTGCCATCCAGGTGCCATTCCTGTGTCCCTGTGTCACTTCCCGGTGCCACCTCTGTCCTGTGTCCCTGTGTCACTTCCTGGTGCCACCTCCGTCCTGTGCCATCCTGGTGCCATCCTGGTGCCATCTCTGTCCTGTGTCACTTCCCGCTGCCATCCTGGTGCCATTCCTGTGTCCCCATGTCACTTCCCAGTGCCACTTTTGTCCTGTGCCATCTTGGTGCCATCTCTGTTCTGTGTCCTGTGTCCCCGTGTCAGGTTCCAGTGCCATGCCCATGTCACGTCCTGGTGCCATCCTCGTGTCACATCCCGGTGCCATCCTTCCGTGTCCCCTCGCTGTCCCTCGCTGTCACATCCCCGTGCTGGCTCTCCACGCTGTCCCGTCCCCCGTTCCTGCGCCATCTCCGTGTCCCCGAGTGCCATCTCCGTGTCACATCCCCACATCCTGGTGCCACCTACGTGTCCCCTCAATGTCCCCTTGGGGCCAAGTGTCACATCCCCAGGCCCCGGCGTCACACCCATGTCACATCCCCCAGCCGTGTCCATGTCCCTGGGCCACCTCCCAGAGTGTCACCTCCGAGTGTCACATCCCAGAGTGTCACACCCTCGGTGCCACCTCCCCGTCCTGTCCCCACACGGGATCCTGTGGGAAACTGAGGCGTGGCCAGGGGGACACAGAGGGGACAGGGGTGTCCCCTGGCCTCGGGAAGGTGGGGACAGTGGGAGGGGACAGCCGGGATGGCAGGGACACGCTGGGACACGCTGGGACACTCCAGGCCAGGCCGGGGCTGTGGTGGCCGTGGAAGTGTCACCGTCACGCTGAGTGTCACAGGCGGGTGGCACAGGGGGGTGGCGCAGGGAGGTGGCACATGTGTCACCACCCCCAGTGGGTGTCACAGGTGTCCCTGTCCCAGGGCTGTCCCGGCTGTCCCTGGTGTGTCACAGGGGATGTCCCAGCTGTCCCGGCTGTCCCCTGCCGGGCGTGGTGGCACCAGGCAGTGTCCCAGGACTGTCCCTGTCCCCAGAGGTGGCCCGGCTGTCCCCTGCCGGGCGTGGTGGCACCAGGCAGTGTCCCAGTTGTCCCTGTCCCTGGAGGTGGCCCGGCTGTGCCCGGTGTCCCAGGGCTGTCCTGGCTGTCCCAGGGCTGTGCCCGGTGTCCCAGGGCTGTCCCCGGTGTCCCCTGCCGGGCGTGGCGGCGCCGGGCGGGGCGCTACCTGGTGAAGAAGGGCAGGTGGTGGCCCAGGCCACCCCCCGGGCGCGGGGACTCTGTCCGGGCCATCACGTCCTTGAACCAGGTGGCCACGTCCACCTCGAGCGTCTCGTAGCGCTTGATGAAGGTGTGCTCCTGTGGGGACAGCAGGGGACATGGGGACATCGGGGACAGCAGGGACAGCGGGGACATGGGGACATCGGGGACAGCAGAGATATGGGGACATCGGGGACAGCAGGGACAGCAGGGGACATGGGGACATTGGGGACAGCAGAGACAGCAGGGGACATCAGGGACATTGGGGACAGCAGGGGACATGGGGGACATCGGGGACAGCAGGGGACATCAGGGATAGCAGAGATGGGGGACATTTGGGACATGGGGACATCGGGGACAGCAGGGGACATTTGGGACATGGGGGACAGCAGTGACATGACATGGGGACATCGGGGACAGTGGGGACATGGGGGACATTGGAGACAGCAGAGATATGGGGACATTGGGGACAGCAAGTGTGACGGGAGAGGTGTGACAGGGGACAGGGGAAGAGACAGATGTGATGGCACAGGTGACAGGTATGGCAGGTGACAGGTGTCACAATGACAAGTGACAAGTGTGACAGTGCCAGGTGTGACAGTGATAATGACAGGTGTGACAGACATGACAGTGACAGATGACAGGTGTGACAGTGACAGTGAAAATGACAGGTGACAATGACAGGTGCCAGGTGTGACAATGACAGGTGACAGTGCCAGGTGTGACAGTGAAAATGACAGGTGACAGTGACAGTGCCAGGTGTGACAGTGATAATGACAGGTGTGACAGACGTGACAGTGACAGATGACAGGTGTGACAGTGAAAATGACAGGTGACAGTGACAGGTACCAGGTGTGACAATGACAGGTGCCAGGTGTGACAATGACAATGACAGGTGACAGCTGTGACAATGACAGGTGCCAGGTGTGACAATGACAGGTGTGACAATGACAGGTGTGACAGTGACACTGACAGGTGACAATGACAGGTGACAGGTGCCACTCACCAGTAACTTGTTGTACTTTGGTCTCTTCCTGTGGTCCTTGGTGAGGCTGGGGGAGGGGACGGGGGGTGAGCACCTTTGGGACCCTCGGGACACGTCCCCATGTCCCCTCCATGTCCCCCCTGTCCCCAGTGTCCCCCCATGTCCCCAGTGTCCCCCCATGTCCCCCACCAGTCCCAGACAAAGGCCTGGAGCTCCCCTGGGAAGGCGGGGGTGGCACCTTGGGGACCCCTGGGACTGTGTCCTTCCCATGTCCCCTGTGTGTCCCCATGTCCCCTGTGTGTCCCCATGTCCCCCCATGTCTTCGTGTCCCCAGCAGTCATGGACGAAGGCTGGGAAGTCCCCAGAGCATCTTGGGGACCCTCCTTGTCCCCTGTGTGTTCCCTTGTCCCCATGTGTCCCCCACGTCCCCCCATGCCCTCTGTGTCCCCATGGTATCCCCCATGTCTCCATGTCCCCAGGTCCCCTGTGTCCTCCTGTGTCCCTGTGTGTCCCCATGTCCCCGCCATGTTCCCCATGCCCCCCATGCCCTCTGTGTGTCCCCAGTGTGTCTCCATGTCCCCTGTGTCCCCATGGTGTCCCATGGTGTCCCTCATGTCTGCATGTCCCCAGATCCCCCGTGTCCCCCATGTCCCCCTGTGCCCCTAAGTCCCCCGTGTCCCCCATGTCCCCCTGTGCCCCTATGTCCCCCATGTCCCTCATGTCTCCATGTCCCCCTGTGCCCCCCCTGTCCCCATGTCCCCTGTATCCCCATGTCACTGTGTGTCCCCACATCCCCAGTGTGTCCTCATATCCCCTGTATGTCCCCATGGCATCCCCCATGTCCTCATGTCCTCCGTGTCCCCATGTCCCCCATGTCCCTGCGTGTTCCCATGTCCCCCCTGTCCCCTCGTCCCCCATGTCTCTCCATGTCCTGTGTCCCCCCCCATGTCCCCACGTGTCCCCACCAGTCTCGGACGAAGGCCTGGAAGTCCCCGGAGAAGCCCATGGCTGGGGGCAGCAGGGGGGGATCCTCCTGCAGCACCTTGGTCAGCACCTCGAAATCCGTCTTGCAGTTCTGGTACGGGAACTGCCCCGTGGCCAGCTCCACCTGGGGACAGGTGTGACACACACAGGTGTGACAGCTGTGACACACACAGGGACAGCAGTGCTGGTACGGGAACTGCCCCGTGGCCAGCTCCACCTGGGGACAGGTGTGACACAGGTGTGACAGGTGTGACACACACAGGGACAGCAGTGCTGGTATGGGAACTGCCCCGTGGCCAGCTCCACCTGGGGACAGGTGTGACACAGGTGTGACACACACAGGTGTGACACACAGGTGTGACACAGACAGGTACAGCATGGGAACTGCCCCGTGGCCAGCTCCACCTGGGTACAGGTGTGACACACATAGGTGTGACGGGCGTGACACACACAGGGACAGCAGTGCTGGTACGGGAACTGCCCCGTGGCCAGCTCCACCTGGGGACAGGTGTGACACAGGTGTGACACACACAGGTGCGACACACACAGGTGTGATGGGTGTGATACACACAGATGTGACAGGTGTGACACACACAGGTGTGACAGGTGTGACACACACAGGGACAGCAGTTCTGGTACGGGAACTGCCCCGTGGCCAGCTCCACCTGGGGACAGGTGTGACACAGGTGTGACACACACAGGTGTGACACACACAGGTGTGACACACACAGGTGTGACACACACAGGGACAGCAGTGCTGATATGGGAACTGCCCTGTGGCCAGCTCCACCTAGGGACACAGGTGTGACACAGGTGTGACGCAGACAGGTGTGACAGGTGTGACACACACAGGGACAGCAGTGCTGATATGGGAACTGCCCTGTGGCCAGCTCCACCTAGGGACACAGGTGTGACGCAGACAGGTGTGACAGGTGTGACACACACAGGGACAGCAGTGCTGGTACGGGAACTGCCCCGTGGCCAGCTCCACCGGGGACAAGTGTGACACAGGTGTGACAGGTGTGACACACACAGGGACAGCAGTGCTGGTATGGGAACTGCCCTGTGGCCAGCTCCACCTGGGGACACAGTTGTGACAGAGGTGCGACAGCTGTGGCAGGGACAGGTGCCAGGTGTGGCAGGGACAGGTGACAGGTGTGGCAGGAACAGGTGACAGGTGTCGTAGGGAGGTGTGGCACTGCAGGGCTGAGGTGGCACTGTGGGGACACGCTGGGGACCCAGAGGTGGTTGGGGCCAGCCTGGGGACACTGCGGGGGGGTCAGGGACAGCTGGGTGATGTTTAGGGACCCTGGGTGACACTGGGGGATGCTGGGGACCCTGGGTGACATTTGGGGACACTTTAGGGACCCTGAGTGACGTTTGGGGATGCTTTAGGGACCCTGGGTGATGTTTGGGGACTCTGGTGACACTGGGGACACTATGGGGACCCTGGGTGACACTGGGGATGCTTTAGGGACCCTGGGTGACACTGGGGGATGCTGGGTGATACTGGGGATGCTTTAGGGACACTGGGGATACTCTGGGGACCCTGGGGACACTGTGGGGACACTGTAGGGACCCTGGGGACACTGTGGGGACACTCTGGGGACCCTGTGGGGCCCCTCTGGGGCCAGCACTCACCAGGGAGATGCTGAGGGAGGCTGGGTAACACTGGGGATGCTTTAGGGACACTCTGGGGGACCCTGGGTGACCACGAGGACACTCTGGGGACCCTGGGGACACTGTGGGGACACTGTGGGGACCCTGGGGACACTCTGGGGACACTGTGGGGACCCTGTGGGGCCAGCACTCACCAGGGAGATGCCGAGGGATGCTGGGTGACACTGGGGATGCTTTAGGGACCCTGGGGACACTCTGGGGACCCTGGGGACACTGTGGGGCCCCTGTGGGGACCCTGTGGGCCCCTGTGGGGCCAGCACTCACCAGGGAGATGCTGAGGGAGGCTGGGTGACACTGGGGATGCTTTAGGGACACTCTGGGGACACTGTGGGGCCCCTGTGGGGCCAGCACTCACCAGGGAGATGCCGAGGGAGGCTGGGTGACACTGGGGATGCTTTAGGGACACTCTGGGGACACTCTGGGGACCCTGGGGCCCCTCTGGGGCCAGCACTCACCAGGGAGATGCCGAGGCTCCAGACGTCGGCGCGGATGTCGTAGTCGGGCTTGGTGGGGTCGGGGGGGTCGATGCGCTCGGGCTGGGGGAGGGGCAGCATTGAGGGCACGGGGGGAGGGGGCAGGGCCCCAGAACCCCAAACCCCAAACACGGGAACCCCCAAACCTGGAACCCCAAACCCCAAACCTGGAACCCCCAGAACCTCAAACCTGGGAACCCCCGAACCCCAAACATGGGGAACCCTCAAACCCCAAACCTGGAACCCCCAGAACCTCAAACCTGGGAACCCCCGAACCCCAAACATGGGGAACCCCCAAACCTGGGAACCCCCAAACCCCAAACCTGGAAAGCCCCAGAACCCCAAATCTGGGAACCCCCAAAGACCCAGACCCCCAAACCTGGAAACCTGCAAACCCCAAACCTGGGAACACCCAAAGACTCAGAACCCCAAACCTGGGAACCCCCAAACCCCAAACCTGGGGAACCCCCAAACCCCCAAACCTGGAGCCCCCAGAACCCCAAACCTGGGAACCCCCAAACCTGGGGAACCCCCAAACCTGGAACCCCCAGAACCCCAAACCTGGGAACCCCCACACCCGAGGAACCCTCGAACACCCAGAACCCCAAACCTGGGAACCCCTGAAACCCCAAACTTGGAAACCAGCAAACCCCAAACCTGGGAACCCCCAAACCTGGCAGGGACCCCAAAACCCCAAACGTGTGGAGAACTCCAAAAACCCCAGACCTGGGAACCCTCAAACATCCAAAGCCCCAGACCTGGGGGACCCCCGGCATCCCCAGACCTGGGGGGGATCCTCAAAACCCCAAAGAAGCCAGACCTGGAGGCGACCCCACAACCCCAAGGCTGGGGGGATCCCCCAAACCCCAGGGGATCCCCAACACCCCCAAACCCGAGGGGGGCCCCCCACAGCCCCATCCCACGGCCGGGGTGCAGCCCCCCCCAATCCTGGGGACCCAACACCCCCTGATCCCCCCCAAAGGCCCCCTCTGGGGCTGGGGCATGTCCCCAGTGTCCCCCCAATGTCCCCAGCGTCCCCCCAATGTCCCCAGTGTCCCTAATGTCCCCACAGTGTTCCCATGTCCCCTATGTTCCCCACGTCTCCAGTGTCCCCAATGTCCCCAACATCCCCCCAATGTCCCCAATGTTCCCAATGTCCCCAACGTCCCCAGTGTCCCCAATGTCCCCAACATCCCCCCAATGTCCCCAATGTCCCAAATGTTCCCAATGTCCCCAGTGTCCCCAATGTCCCTGGGGATGTCCCCAATGTCCCTAAACCTGTCCCCATGTCCCCAATGACCCCTCACCACCATGTAGGCTGCACAGCCCGCACTCTGGGCAATGTCCCCATGTCCCCAACCCTGTCCCCATGTCCCCAATGTCCCCTCACCACAATGTAGGCCGCACAGCCCATGCTCCCGGGGATGTCCCTGTGTCCCCAATGTCCCAGGGGATGTCTCCAGTGTCCCTAACCCTGTCCCAAATGTCCCAGTGTCCCCTCACCGCCATGTAGGCCGCACAGCCCATGCTCTGGGGGATGTCCCTGTGTCCCCAATGTCCCAGGGGGTGTCCCCAATGTCCCAGGGATGTCCCCAATGTCCCTAACCGTGTCCCCATGTCCCCAGTGTCCCCTCACCGCCATGTAGGCCGCACAGCCCGCGCTCCGGGTCTTGGCTTTGGAGTCCACCAGGCGGCCGCTGATGCCGAAGTCGCAGAGTTTGATCTGGCCCCGCTCGTCCAGCAGGATGTTGGAGGGTTTGACATCCCTGTGGATCACCCCGTGCTTCTCCTTCAGGTACAGCAGCGCCTTCACGATCTGCAGGACAGGGATTGTCCCCAGTGTCACCTCTGTGTCACCGTCACCCTGCCCAGAACACCCCCTGTCCCCTGTGGGTCACCCCATGCTTCTCCTTCAGGTACAGCAGCGCCTTCACCATCTGCAAGGACAGTGTCACCTCTGTGCCACCTCTGTGTCACCATCACCCTGCCCAGAACACCCCCTGTCCCCAATGTCCCCTGTGGGTCAACCTGTGCTTCTCCTTCAGGTACAGCAGCATCTTCACGATCTGCAAGGACAGCGTCACCTCTGTGCCATTCTGTCACCTCTTTGTCACCATCACCCTGCCCAGAACACCCCCTGTCCCCAATGTCCCCTGTGGGTCACCCCGTGCTTGTCCTTTGGGTACAGCAGCGCCTTTACCGTCTGTGGGACAGGGATCGTCCCCTATGTCACCTCTGTGCCACCATCACCCTGCCCAGAACACCCTGACTGTCCCCAGTGTCCCCTATGAGTCACCCCGTGCTTCTCCTTCAGGTACAGCAGGGCCTTCACCATCTGTGGGACAGGGATTGTCCCCAGTGCCACCTCTGTGTCACCATCACCCTGCCCAGAACATCCCCTGTCCCCTGTGGGTCACCCCGTGCTTCTCCTTCAGGTACTTCACCCGTGGGGACAGCAGTGACAGTCTGCAGGTGTCACCTCTGTGTCACCGTCACCCTGCTCACTGCCACTGTCACCCTGCCCACTCGGGAATGGGGCGCTGGATCCTGGGGACCCCCTGCCTGTCCCCATTGTCCCCAGTGTCCCCAGTGTCCCTAACCATCACCAGCATCCTGCCCAAGATACCAGGACCCCCCTGCCTGTCCCCAGTGTCCCCAACATCCCAACTGTCCCCAGTGCCACTCACTGCCACTGTCATCCTGCCCAGAACCCCAGAGCCACCCTGTGTGTCCTCAATGTCCCCAATGTCCCCAGTGTCCCCAGTGTCCCCAATGTCCCCCCCCGCTGTCACTCGCTGCCACCATCATCTTGCTCAGAATCCCAGACTCACCCTGCGTGTCCCCAGTGTCCCTAACGCTCCCATTGTCCCCAATCTCCCCAGTGTCCCCAATGCCCCCAGTGTCCCCATTGTCCCAAATCTCACCAGTGTCCGCAAGTGTCCCTAATGCTCCCATTGTCCCCAGTGCCCCCCCTGTCCTCGTCATCCCCAGTGTCCCCAATGCCCCCCGTGTCCCCAAGGCTCCAGGTGTCCCCAGTGTCCCCGATTCCCCCAATGCCCCCAATGTCCCCATTTTTCCAAAAGCCACCAATGTCCCCCAAGGCTCCAGGTGTCCCCAGTGTCCCTGTTGTCTCCAATCCCCCCAAATGTCCTCAATGTCCCCATTGTCCTCAGTGTCCCCCAGTGTCCCTGCTGTCACTCACTGCCACCGTCATCTTGCCCAGAACCCCAGAGCCACCCCTCGTGTCCCCAGTGTCCCTGATGCCCCTGCTGTCCCCAATGTCCCCAGTGTCACTCACTGCCACCGTCATCTTGCCCAGAACCCCAGAGCCACCCCACGTGTCCCCAGTGTCCCTGATGCCCCTGCTGTCCCCAGTGTCCCCATTGTCCCCAGTGTCCCCGCTGTCACTCACTGCCACCGTCATCTTGCCCAGAACCCCAGAGCCACCCCGTGTGTCCCCAGTGTCCCTGATGCCCCTGCTGTCCCCAATGTCACTCACTGCCACCGTCATCTTGCCCAGGATGCGCTCGGGGATGGGGCCCTGGATTCTCTTCTTGAGCTTCTCGGCGCAGGTGCCCATGAGCTCCATGGCGATGAACACGTCGGTCTGGGGAGGGACCGGGTGAACTGGGAGCACTGGGAGGGACTGGGGGCACTGGGAGGGACTGGGGGCACTGCGGGGCACTGGGAGCCCTGGGAGGGCACTGGGGGCACTGAGAGGGACTGGGGGGGCACTGGGAGCACTGGGAGGGCACTGGGTGTGCTGGGAGGGCACTGGAATGGACATGGGGCACTGGGAGGCCCTGGGGGCACTGGGAGGCCCTGGGAGCACTGGGGGGGTACTGGGAGGGCACTTGGAGTACTGGGGGCACTGGGGGCACTGGGGGGGGTACTGGGAGGGCACTGGGTGTACTGGGGGCACTGGTGGGCACTGGAGGCACTGGGTGTACTGGGGGGGGTACTGGGAGGGCACTCCAGATGCCCCCCAGCCCTCCAGATTCCCCTGAGTGCCCCAGGTGTGCCCAGGTACCCACGTTGGTGATGAAGGTGCCAAAGCACTGCACGATGTAGGGGTGCCCATAGCCCCAGGTGTGCCCAGGTGTGCACAGGTGCCCCCAGGTGCGCCCAGGTGCCCCCAGGTGTGCCCAGGTGCCCCAGGTACCCACATTGGTGATGAAGGTGCCAAAGCACTGCACGATGTAGGGGTGCCCATAGCCCCAGGTGTGCCCAGGTGTGCACAGGTGCCCCCAGGTGCGCCCAGGTGCCCCCAGGTGTGCCCAGGTGCCCCAGGTACCCACATTGGTGATGAAGGTGCCGAAGCACTGCACAATGCAGGGGATGCAGGGGTGCCCATATCCTGCCCATATCCCCAGGTGCCCCCAGGTGTGCCCAGGTGCCCCCAGGTGCCCCAGGTACCCACGTTGGTGATGAAGGTGCCAAAGCACTGCACGATGCAGGGGTGCCCATAGCCCCAGGTGCCCCAGGTGTGCCCAGGTGCCCGCAGGTGCCCCAGGTACCCATGCTGGTGATGAAGGTGCCGAAGCACTGCATGATGCAGGGGATGCAGGGGTGCCCATAGCCCCAGGTGTGCCCAGGTGCCCCCAGGTGTGCCCAGGTGCCCCAGGTGCCCCCAGGTGTGCCCAGGTGCCCCAGGTGTGCCCAGGTGCCCCAGGTGTGCCCAGGTGTGCCCCGGTACCCACGTTGGTGATGAAGGTGCCGAAGCACTGCACAATGCAGGGGATGCAGGGGTGCCCATAGCCCCAGGTGTGCCCAGGTGCCCCCAGGTGTGCCCAGGTGCCCCAGGTGCGCCCAGGTACCCACGTTGGTGATGAAGGTGCCAAAGCACTGCACGATGCAGGGGTGCCCATAGCCCCAGGTGTGCCCAGGTGCCCCCAGGTGCCCCAGGTACCCATGCTGGTGATGAAGGTGCCGAAGCACTGCACAATGCAGGGGATGCAGGGGTGCCCATAGCCCCAGGTGTGCCCAGGTGTGCCCAGGTGCTCCCAGGTGTGCCCAGGTACCCATGTTGGTGATGAAGGTGCCAAAGCACTGCACAATGCAGGGGTGCCCATAGCCCCAGGTGCCCCCAGGTGTGCCCAGGTGCCCCAGGTGTGCCCAGGTGCTCCCAGGTGTGCCCAGGTGCCCCCAGGTGTGCCCAGGTGCCCCCAGGTACCCACATTGGTGATGAAGGTGCCGAAGCACTGCACAATGCAGGGGTGCCCATAGCCCCAGGTGCCCCCAGGTGTGCCCAGGTGCCCCAGGTGCTCCCAGGTGCTCCCAGGTGCCCCCAGGTACCCACGTTGGTGATGAAGGTGCCAAAGCACTGCACGATGCAGGGATGCCCATAGCCCCAGGTGCCCCCAGGTGCCCCAGGTGCCCCCAGGTGTGCCCAGGTGTGCCCAGGTACCCACGTTGGTGATGAAGGTGCCGAAGCACTGCACGATGTAGGGGCAGTCGTGGCTCTTGAGCACCACGTCCAGGTCCATCAGGATCCGCTTGTTCTCCTCGCGGTTCCCCGAGCGACGCATTTGCTGCATGGGGGGGGACAGGTGTCACCAAAGGTCACCGAGGGTCACAGGTGTCACCGGGGGGGTCACGGGGGGCACAGGGGGGGTCACGGGGGGCACAGGTGTCATGGGGAGTCACAGGTGTCACCAGGGGGGTCACAAGTGTCACCAGGGCTCACAGGTGTCACCAGGGAGGGGTTACAGGTGTCACCGGGGGGTCACAGGGGGGGTCACGGGGGGCACAGGTGTCACCAGAGGCCACAGGTGTCATGGGGAGTCACAGGTATCACCAGGGGTCACAAGTGTTACCGGGGGGCACGGGGGGCACAGGTGTCACTGGAGGTCACAAGTGTCACCAGTGTCACCAGGGCTCACAGGTGTCACCGGGGGGTCACAGGGGACACAGGTGTCACCAGGGGGGGTCACAAGTGTCACGCAGGGTCACAGGTACCACTGAGGGTCACAGGTGTCACCAGGGGGTGACCAGAGGGTCACAGGTGTCACCAGGGAGGGTCACGTGGGTGGTCACAGGTGCCACTGAGGGTCACAGGTGTCACAGGGGGGTCACAGGTATCACTGAGGGGGGGGTCACAGGTGTCACCAGGGGTCCAAGGTATCACAGGTGTCACAGGTGTCACTGGGGGGGGGGGCACTGGGGAGGGGTCACAGGTGTCACTGAAAGGTCACAGATGTCACCAGGTGTCACCTGGGGTCACAGGTGTCCCAGGTGTCACTGGGGGGTCCCAGGTGTCCCAGGTGTCACTGGGGGGGGTCCCAGGTGTCCCCAGGTGTCCCCGCCCCGTGCCCACCTTGACGGCGATGACGTGCCCGGTCTTGCGGAATCGCATCTTCCACACCTGCCCGCAGGTGCCGCTGCCGATCTCGCCCAGGTTCTCCAGGTCATTGATCTCTGCCTGGTACCGCTGGGGGGAGGGGGGTCAGGGCCCACCCGGACAGCCCCCGGGCTCACCTGGGGCCCCCTCAGCCAGGTAACCCCCCTCAATCCTCACCCTGGGCCCCCCCTCAGCCAGGTAACCCCCCCTCAATCCTCACCTGGGCCCCCCTCAGCCAGGTAACCCCCCCTCAATCCTCACCTGGGCCCCCCTCAGCCAGGTAACCCCCCCTCAATCCTCACCTGAGCCCCCCCTCAGCCAGGTAACCCCCCCTCAATCCTCATCTAGGGCTGCCCTTGGCCAGGTAACCCCCCTCAATTCTAACCTGGCCCCCCTTGGCCAGGTAACCCCCCTCAATCCTCACCTGAGCCCCCCTTGGCCAGGTAACCCCCCTCAATCCTCACCTGAGCCCCCCCTTGGCCAGGTAACCCCCCTCAATCCTCACCTGGGGCCCCTCGGCCAGGAAACCCCTCCCACAGCCAGGTAACCCCTCCCATGGCCAGGTAACCCCCCTTGATCCTCACCTGTGCCCCCATGGCCAGGTAACCCCCTCCATCCTCACCTGGGCCCCTCACTATGCCCACCCGCCCTCCTCATCCTCACCTGTCCCCCCATAGTCAGGTACCCCCTCATGCTCACCTGTTCCCCCCCACAGTCAGGTACCCCCTCATGCTCACCTGTCCCCCCCACGGTCAGGTACCCCGTCTGTTTCATGATCTCCTGCAGCTTCTGGTCGATCTCAATGCTGGGGGGCAATGGGAGAGCTCAGCCAATCAGCTCAGGGCACGGGGAGAGCTCAGCCAATCAGCTCAGGGCAAGGGGAGAGCTCAGCCAATCAGCTCAGGGCAGGGGGAGAGCTCAACCAATCAGCGCAGGGCACAGGGAGAGCCCAGCCAATCAGCTCAGGGCACAGGGAGAGCTCAGCCAATCAGCACACAGGGAATCACAGCTCTGGCCAATCGCACACCAGGAAATCGTGCCTGCCTGCCTGGCCAATCAGCACCCAGGGGCTCCTGGTCAGCTGACCAATCAGCATGCAGGGGGCTCTCGCACTCCTGGCCAATGAGCACACAGCTCTCCTGCCCAACAGGCCAATCAGCAACTGGGATCCTCTGAACCATCAACCAATCAGCAGCTGCAACCTGTGCTCCAGCCAATCACTGCTCAAGATCACCCCGAAGCTCTGGCCAATGAGAAAACACCACTCCCCGAGCTCTGGCCAATCAGGGCCTACAAGCGCTCAGAGCAGCAGCCAATCAGCACCACAGGCTCCTGAACGTCCAACCAACTGCTGCGCACACCCCTCCTGCCCAGCCAATCAGAACACACGGCCCCTTGGATCTCTGGCCAATCAGAGTGCAGGATCTCCCTGGAATCTCTGGCCAATCACCGCCTGCAGACTCCTGTCCACCCAGCCAATCAGCACAAGCCTCCTGCTCGGCCAATCAGCTCACATTATCACCTCAGAATTCTATCCAATCAGAGCATGGAAAACTCCCTGATCTCTGGCCAATCAGGGCACAGGATCTCTCAGAATCTCTGGCCAATCACAGAACAGGATCCCCCAAGCCTCTGGCCAATCAGGACATATGACCCTCCCCTAGCCAATCACGACACGTGATCCTCTGTGGGCCAATCAGAGCAGAGGATCTCTCCAGAACTCTGGCCAATCAGAGCATAGGATCTCCGCAGACCTCTAGCCAATCAGGATGCGTGACCCCCCTCTGGCAAATGTGAGCGTGGTGCCCAATCAGGGCACAGGATTCCCCTGGGCTTCTGTCCAATCAAGCTTTGATTCTGCTGGACTGCTGACCAATGTGGGCACAGGATCCCCCAGCACCTCGGGCCAATCAGTTCCCAGGTTCTCCCCAATGGGCCAATCAGCACCCAAGCTATCCCATATTGTCCAATCAGCACCCAGGCTCTCGCCAATCAGCCAATCAGCTTCCAGGCCCTCCCCATGGACCAATCAGCACCCAGGCTATTCCATATTATCTAATTAGCATTCAGGCTCTCGCCAATCAGCACCCAGGCTCTCCCCAATCAGCCAATCAGCAGCCAGGCTCTCGCCAATCAGCAGCCAGGCTCTCGCCAATCAGCCAATCAGCATCCAGGCTCTCCCCCTCAGCCAATCAGGGCTCGGGGGCGTGTCCCTCACCTCTCCAGGCTGCGCGGCACCAGGAACGGGGGCGGGGGCAGCCCCAGCATCTGCCGGGGCCGGGGGGGGGGCGTGGGCTGGGGGCTCTCGGGGGGGCCCCCCCGGCCCCCCTCACTCACCAGGGGCAGCTGCAGGGCTGGGGGGGAGAGCAGAGTCAGCAACCCCAGAAACGGGGGGAGAAACCCCAAAAACGGGGAGAGAAACCCAAAAATGGGGAGAAATACCCAAAAACCCAGAGAGAGAAACCTAAAAATGGGGAGGAACCCCAAAAACGGGGAGAGAACCCTAAAAACGAGGAGAGAAACCCCCAAAATGGGGAGAACACCAAAAAGGGGAGAGAAACTAAAAAACGAGGAGAGAATCCCATAAAGGGGGAGAGAAACCCAAGAAATGGGGAGAGAACCCCAAAAGCGGGGAGAGAAACCCCAAAAACGGGGAGAGAACCTCAAAACGGGGGAAGAAACCAAAAACAAGGCAAGAACCTCAAAAATGGGGAGAGAACCCAAAAGCGGGGGGGAGAATCGGAAAAATGGGGAGAGAAACCCCAAAAACAGGGGGGAGGAACCCAGAAATGGGGGGGAGAACCCTAAAAACGGGGAGGAAACTCAAAACCAGGTAGAGAACCCCAAAAATGGGGAGAGAAACTCAAAACCAGGGAGAGAACCAGAAAAATGGGGAGAGAAACCCCAAAAACAGGGAGGAAACTCAAAACCTGGGGGAGAACCCCAAAAACGGGGAGAGAACCCAAAACCAGGGAGGGAACCCCAAAAACAGGGAGAGAACCCCAAAAATGGGGAGAGAACCCAGAAATGGGGGGAGAACCTCAAAACGGGGAAAGAATCCCAGAAATGGGGAGAGAAACCAAAAATGGGGAAAGAACCCCAAAAACAGGGAGAGAAACCCAAAAACCAGGGGGAGAATTGGAAAAATGGGGAGAGAAAACCCAGAAACAGGGGGAGAAACCCAAAAATGGGGGGAGAATCCCAAAACGGGAGGAAACCCAAAACCAGGTAGAGAACCCAAAAATGGGAGGAGAACCCCAAAAATGGAGAGGGAACCCCAAAAACGCGGGGACCACCCCAAAATGGAGATAGAACCCCAGAAATGGGGAGAGAATCCCAAAAAATGGGGGGAGAACACCAGAAATGGGGAGAGAAGCCCAGAAATGGGAAGAGAACCCAGAAATGGGAGAAACCCCAAAAATGGGGGAGAACCCCAAAAGAGAGAAGCCAAACAATGGGGAATTAATATCAAAAATGGGGAGGGAATGCCATAAATGGAGAACCCAAAAAAGGGGAGAGAATCCAAACATGGACAGGAACCTCAAATATGGAAGAGAACCCCCAAAAATGGAAAACTCACAGAAACCTAAAAATGGGGAGAGAACCTCAAAAATGGAGAACCCCAAAAAAGGGAGAGAAACCTAAAAAAGGGGAGAGAATGCCAAAAATGGGGAGAGACAGAACCCCAAAATTGGGGCAGAAAACTCAAAAAAATCAATGAGAGAGCCTGAAAATAGGGAAAAGAACCTAAAATTTGGGGAGAGAACCCTAAAAATGGGGAGAGCAGGATCAGGGACCCCAAAAATGGGAAAGAACTCCCAAAACAGGGGGAGACACAGCAGGGACCCCAAAATCCATGTGGGAGGAGAAAGAAACCGGTCAGGAACCCCAAAACTGAGGATGGACTTGTCAGAACCCCAAAAATGGGAGGAAAAACATCAGGACCCCCAAAAATAGGGGGAGAAAATCATCAAGACCCAAAAACTGGGGGGGAAAGGTCAGAACCCCATAAACTGGGGGGGCACAGAGAGCCCCCAATTTTTCCCCTTTTTCTCCTCTTTTTGCAGTTTCCTGCCCCGTTTCCCCCCGTTCTTGCCCCATTTTCCCCTCCCTGCCCCATTTTCCTGCAATTCCCACCAATTTTTCCTCATTTCCCCCAAATTTGCCCCATTTCCCCCCAATTTTTCCCACCATTTTTCTCCATTTCCCCCCACCTTTCAATTTCCCTATTTTAGCCCATTTCCCCCCAATTTTGCCGCTGTTTTTCCCAATTTTCCCCCCAATTTTTGCACTCTTACCCCCAATTTTCCCTCATCCCCCTCATTGTTCCCAATTTCCCCCAATTCCTTCTGTCTTTTCCCCTATTTTTCCCTGTTTCTCCCCAATTTTTCCCATTTCCACCCTATTTCCCACTGTTTTCCCCAATTTTCCCCCCCAGTTTTTCCCCATTTTCCCAATTTTCCCCCATTTCCCTGTCTTCCCAATTCCTCCCAATTTTCCCCCATTCCTCCCACGTTTTTCCCCCCACTTTTCTGCAATCTTCCTTCATTTTCCCACCATTTTTTCCACATTTCCCCTGTTTTTTCCACAATTTTTCCATATTTCCCAATTTTTCCCATTTCCCCCCCATTTTTTGCCTCAATTTCCCCGTTTCCCCCCATTTTTCCCATTTTCCCCCAATTTTTGCCTCAATTTCCCCGTTTCCCCCCATTTTTCCCCGTTTCCCCCCCAGTTTCCCCCATTTCCCCATCATTTTCCCCAATTTCCCCCCAATTCCCCGTTTTCCCCCCCCATTCCCTTCCCATTTCCTCCCAATTTCCCCCCACTTTTTCCAAATTTTTCCCCATTTGCTCACAAATTTTTACCATTTTCCCCCTGATCTCCCCCAACTTCCATATTTCCCCCCAATTTTTCCCCATTTCCCCCATTTTTCCAATTCCCCCCATTCTACTCCCCAATTCCCCCCAATTTCCTCCCATTTTCCAAATTTTTCCCCATTTCCTCACAAATTTTTCCCATTTACCCCCAGTTTCCCCCCATTTTTCCTGTTTCCCCCCATTTTCCCCATTTCCCCCCCATTTTTCCCATTTCCCCCCACTTTTCGCCTCAATTTCCCCGTTTCCCCCCCATTTTTCCCGTTTCCCCCCATTTCCATTTCCCCCATTTCTCCCCCCATTTTTCCTATTTCCCCCCAGTTTTTGCCTCAATTTCCCAGTTTCCCCCTATTTTGCACCCATCTCCCCCCCCCGTTTTTCCCATTTTTCCTGTTTTCCCCCATTTCCCCCCCCATTTTTCCCATTTCCCCCCATTTTTCCCGTTTTCCCCCCATTTCTCCCATTTCCCCCCATTTTCCCCATTTCCCCCCATTTTCCTCCCATTTTTCCCATTTCCCCCCAGTTTTGCCCAAATTTCCCATTTCCTCCCCATTTCCCCTCCATTTTTCCCCCATTTCCCCCCCATTTTCCCCGTTTCCCCCCCATGTTTCCCATTTCCCCCCCATTTCTCCCCCATTTTTTCCCATTTCCCCCCCGTTTTTGCCTCATTTTCCCTACTTCCCCCCCATTTCCCTCCCATTTTTCCCCATTCCCCCCTTTTTCCCATTTCCCCCCATTTTCCCCATTTCCCCCCATTTTCCCCATTTCCCCCATTTTTCCCCCATTTTCCCATTTCCCCGCCATTTCCCCCCATTTTTTTCCCATTTTGCCCCATTTTTTCCCATTTCCCCTCCATTTTTCCCCCATTTCCCCTCCATTTTCCCCCCATTTTTCCCATTTCCCCCCCCGTTTTTGCCTCATTTTCCCTATTTCCCCCCCATTTCCCCCCCATTTTTCCCATTCCCCCCCTTTTTCCCATTTCCCCCCATTTTCCCCCATTTCCCCCCCATTTTTCCCCCATTTCCCTCCCATTTTTCCCATTTCCCCCCAGTTTTTGCCCAATTCCCCCATTTCCCTCCCATTTTTCCCATTTCCCCCCCAGTTTTTTGCCCAAATTTCCCATTTCCCCTCCATTTCCCCCCATTTTTTCCCATTCCCCCCCTTTTTCCCCATTTCCCCCCATTTTCCCCATTTTCCCCCCATTTTCCCCCATTTCCCTCCCATTTTTCCCATTTTTCCCATTTTCCCCCAGTTTTTGCCCAAATTTCCCATTTCCCCTCCATTTCCTCCTCCCCATTTTTTCCCATTTCCCCCCCATTTCCCCCCATTTTTCCCATTTTCCCCCCCCATTTTTCCCATTTTCCCCCATTTCCCCCCATTTTCCCCGTTTTTCCCATTCCCCCCCCATTTTTCCCATTTCCCCCCCATTTTCCCCATTTCCCCCCCATTTTTCCCCCGTTTTCCCCCCCATTTTTCCCATTTCCTCCCCATTTCCCCCTCCATTTTCCCCATTTTTCCTGCTTTCCCCCCCATTTTTCCTGCTTTCCCCCCATTCCCCCCCCATTTTCCCCCATTTCCCCCCCCCATTTTTCCCATTTCCCCCCCCCATTTTTGCCTCATTTTCCCCATTTGCCCCCCATTCCCCCCCCATTTTTCCCATTTCTCCCCCCATTTTCCCCCACCCATTTTTCCCATTTTCCCCCCCATTTCCCCCCATTTTCCCCCATTCCCCCCCCATTTCCCCATTGTTCCGTTCCGGCCCGCATGCTGCAGGGGGCCGGGGGGGGTCACTCCATGCCACAGCCGGGGGGGGGGAGAGGGGACACGGGGGGGACATTCCGGGGTGGGGGAGGGGCATTCCAGGGTGGGGGAGGGGCAAAGAAACTGCGGGGGGGGGGGGAGGGGGTTAAATTGGGGCGGGGGAGGGGTGAAGCTGCCACAAAGGGGAAACTGAGGCACAAGGGGGGAGGGGTTAAATGGGGAGGGGTTAAATGGGGAGGGGTTAAATGGGGGGGAGGGGTGAAGATGCTCCAAGGGGAAACTGAGGCACAAAGGGTGGGGAGGGGAGGGGTTAAATGGGGAGGGGTCCCCAAAAAGGGGGAGGAGTCAGGGGGGGGGAGGGGCGGTACCTGCTCGCTGGGACGGAGCGGGGGCGGGGCTAAGGGTGATGACGATGACTGGAGATGGGGGAGGGGCAACGGGGGGGGGGGAATAAAAATGGAGGGAAAAAAAATAAAATAAAAAAAAATAAAACGGGAAGAAAAAAAAAGAGAAAAAATTAAAAAGGGAGGGAGTGGGGTGGGTGAGTTCATGAAAATGGGGGTGGGGATGAGTTGAAATTGGGGGATTTGATTAAATCAGGGGGGAGAAATGAATTTAAAATAGAAATAAACTTAAATTGAGGGGCAGAAATTCATTTAAACTGGGGAAAAGGAACTTAAATTGAGGGGCAGGAATTCACTTAAATTGGGGAAAATAAACTTAAATTGAGGGGCAGGAATTACTTTAAATTGGGGAAAATAAATTGAGGAGCAGAAATTAATTTAAATGGGGGGGAAATGAAGTTAAATTGAGGGGCAGGAATTCATTTAAAATGAGGGGAAATGAAGTTGAATTGAGGGGTAAGAATGAATTTAAACTGGGGAAAATAAACTTAAATTGAGAGGTAGGAATGAATTTAAATTGGGGGAAATGAAGCTAAATTGAGGGGCAGAAATTCATTTAAATTGGGGAAAATAAACCTAAATTGAGAGGTAGAAATAAATTTAAAATGGGGAAAATAAACTTAAATTGAGGGAAAGTAATTCATTTAAATTGGGGGGAAAATAAACATAAATTGAGAGCTAGGAATTCATTTAAAATGGGGGGAAAATAAACTTAAATTGAGGGTAAGAATTAATTTAAAATGGGGGGAAAATAAACTTAAATTGAGGAACAGAAATTAATTTTAAATTGGGGAAAATAAACTTAAATTGAGGGACAGAAATTCATTTAAAATGAGGGGAAATGAAGTTAAATTGAGTGGCAGAAATTCATTTAAAATGGGGAAAATAAACTGAAATTGAGGGGCAAGAATTAATTGAAATTGGGGGGAAATGAAGTTAAATTGATGGGAAAATTAATTTAAAATGAAGGAATTAATTTAAAGTGGAGAGCAGAAATGAATTTAAATGAGGGGAAATAATTGGGGGGCAGAAATGAATTTAAATTGGTGGAGATTAAGTTAAATTGGATGGGAAAATTAAGTTAAATTGAGGGATGAGTTTAAATTGGAGAGCAGAAATTAATTTAAAATGGGGAAAATAAACTTAAATTGAGGGGCAGGAATGAATTTAAATTGGGGAAAATAAACTTAGATTGGGGGCAGGAATGAATTTGGCAGAACAGGAATGAAATTGGGGAAATAAATTGAAAATGGGGAAATAAATTGAAATTGGAAGGCAAAAAATGGATTTAAATTGGGGAGAAATGGGGGGATTTAAATTGGGGGAAATGAACTTAAATTGGGGGGTAAAAATGGATTTAAATTGGGGGGAATGAAGTTAAATTATGGGGGAAAATTAATTTAAATTGGGGAAATAAATTTGGGGCAGAAAGGAATTTAAATTGGGGGGAATTAATTTAAATTTGAGGCAAAAATGGATTTGAATTGGAAGGAATAAACTGAAATTAAATTGGAAGGAATAAATTTAGATTGGGGGTAGAAATGAAATTAAATTGGGGAGGAGAAATGAATTTCGATTGGGAAAAATAAATTTAAGTTGAAAATTAAGCAGATATTAATTGAAACTGGGGGGGAAATTAAATTAAATGGGGGAGAATTGAAATTGAGGGCAGAAATATAAATGTATTTCAATTGGAAAAAGTGAATTTAAATTGAGAGGAATGAAAATGGATTTCAATTGGGGGAATTCATTAAATTGGGGGGATGAGTTTTAATTGAAATGGATTTAAATTGGGGGAAAATGGAATTGAGCTGAAGTTGGAGGGACAGGAATGAAATGGGGGGGGGACAAAAAACGAATTTAAATTGGAGAGGAGAGAAATATAAATAAAATTGAAATTAAATTGGGGAAGGGGACAGAGATGAAACTGGGGGGGGACAGGAGCGAAATTCAGATGGGAAAAATAAATTTGGGGGCAGAGAAATGAATTCAAATTGGGGGGAAAATCCCATTAAAATTGGGGAGTTCAGGGATGAATTTGGGGGCAGAAATTTAAATTTGGGGGGATAAAAAATGAGCTCAAATTTGGAAGGGGGGGGGAGAAGAAAGGGAGGAGGGGCAGGGGCTGCTCCCCCCCAGCCTGGAAAAATCCCAAAAAAAATCCCCAAAATCTGCTGGGAATGGTCCTGGGGGGGTCCTACCTGGAGGGGGATCCTCGAGGTGACAACTGGGGGGGAAACCCCCCAAAAATCCCATTGCAACCCCCCCAGAGCCCCCCAAAATCCCACTGGGAACCCCCAAATCCACCCCCCAAAAAAAAAACCCCCAAAAAAACCCCCAAAAAACCCTTCCCAACCCCCTAAATCCCCCTGCCCCCCTAAACCAGCCAGGACTGCCCTAAAATGGCCCTAAACGGCCCCAAAATGACCCTAAACGGCCTCAAATGTCCCAAAACTGCCCTAAAATGGCCCAAAGCTTCCCCAAATACCCAAAAACTGCTCCAATATGGCCCTAAACTGCCCCAAAACTGCCCTAAAATGGCCCTAAACTGCCCCAAATACCCCGAAACTGCCCCTGAGGTGCCCCAAACATCCCAAAATGGCCCCAAAATTTCCCTAAACAACCCCAAAGCTGCCCCCAAATGACCCTAAGCTGTCCCTAAAAGTGCCCCAAACACCCCAAAAAACGACCCCATGCACCCCAGAACAGCCTCAAACTGCCCCAAATTGCTCCAAACACCCCGAAACGGCCCCAAAATGTT